CAAGTTGCCCGGGCAGGTCTCGAACCCACGGGTTCAGGCAATCCACTCACCTCGGCCTCCCAAAGCACTGGGATTACAGGCTGAGCCACCAAGCCCGGCCATTTCCTAGGTTTCTATTCTGTACCATGTTCTACTCACTCCTACTTGGTATCCAGGAAATGGCATTCTAGATGTTGGTGTCCTCCAGGACAGAGACGACTCATTCTGTACACTAAGCAAGCCTTCAATGTACATTAAATGACCTGGTCAACCTACTGTGGTAAATTCTATTCCCATTTTCAAATCAAAACAAGCCCTGCTCTGGCCCCAGGCATGGCCCAGCTCCACAAGGCTGCCCTGGACGCCATGCAACATGATGACACGGAACCTGTCCGTCCCATCTGGCCAAAAATATTCTACCTTAAGGTTTATTTGTTGCAGTCCTTCATATACACAGAATTATTCCATATTAGTGGGTCACTCACTATTCTCTTTGATTTTTTAAAACCAAACAAAGCAACCTTTTTCCAAGGGCAGGAAATTCAGAAATAATAAAGCTATTCTATTAACACTCTTTACCTTGCAACTGATACTATCAAAATGCCACAGTGAAATACCAGAAGAGGACAGAACTATAAAAAGCGAGTTCCAGATGAGATTAAGCAACGATCATCTGGCTGCCCCTCGCTTATGCAGGTGGCACACAGCTAGGTATCACGCGGCTAGGAAGCAAGGCAAAGGGGTGAGGCTCTGATGCCATCTTCCAAACTAGGAAACAACATGGATATATTAGAGGAAAACACCCTCCACTCCAGTCCAAAGAGGCACTTGCAAACATGGAAGAAGGCCCACAGCAAAAGGAGCTCCTAGTACTCTACCCAAGGTGGGAGGAGACCAAGAAGTACATTTGTAACCAGGAGACTGAGGAGAGCTGCTGCTGCTCCTACCCTAGAATCTAGTATTAATACCCTAGTATTAAAGTTCTTTTTATCTCTTTGTTATTTCATGAGGATGCTATAAGAAATGAAACAGACCTACACTGGAAAGTAAAAACCTACATTGGAAAGTATCCCTGAGGTTTAAAATATTCCTTCTTTGTTCAGATAACACAAAGCTAGTCCTGTGCAAATAGATATTTTTTATTAATTGAGACTTCTCAGCAAAGTGTGACATACCTACTAGATAAATACTGAAAGGTTTCACCTCACCTTGAGCTTAACCATTCAATACCTGGATAAGGGAAGGTATCACCGGTGATTTAGTAACTCCAATTGCTGCGTTGATAGTTTCCACAACTGCTAGCATCTGGCAGAAATACATCATGTCAGCCACGGTGTGGAACGTGTCATAAAAGGACTCTACGGGCACAAATATACATTCAGAATAAATCAGCTGGCAAGTTCCAAGAGAATAACCTCTCAAACTAGTTAACTCCTTACATGAAAGAAGCTTAGGAAAGAAATGACAAATATTCAGACTCAAGAGTTTCTGCTGCTTCCCAAGCAGCCTAAGAACTTTTGCAATTACATGTTTGCATGAAAAGTACATGTATAGGATTTGCTATTTACCAACATTCTTTATTCAAAAGAAGAAAACTACAAAGAGCAAACTAAGACTCTGGGTGCCACACCCAAGGTCCTGACCATGTCTCTGGGAACTGACAAGGGCAGAACTAACCAGCAGCTCCATTCCAGTGGGTGGTCAGGAAGAAGCTCAGGCCAAACCAAGATGACCAGTCCAGGCAGCTTCTGTTCAGCATACAACCTGGATCACCTACCAACCCACAGGCTTGCATGGAACATGCAGAATCTATCCAACTGTGTTAGGATAAACACATTAAGTACTCACAAACTTGAAATGTACCCATTTTCATTCCATGGGATTTGTGATAAACCCAAAAGAGCTGCAGTTCTGAAAACTGTGCATCTGAAACCTCTTTGTTTCTTCAAGTAAATTATCTTAGAACTCTGGTCACCCATGACTACAAGACACTGGACATTTTTCACCAGCCTGCCACTGTGTTCTACAGAATTCCAACATGCTAAAGATGGCTAGAAAAACAACATGCATTTTTCCTCTTTCAAATGACTCTAGAGATAACTATAATTCACCTCCAGGGATCTCAGATGGGAATTTAGGACCAAAGAATCAAATGTCTATAGGACTTTCTCTCTTTTAAAGCGAGTTTACACTTTTCATTGCACTTCTATTCCCCCATGCTTCATTTACAAATAAAGAAAATTTAAACATTTTTAAAGATTATTCACATTCAAACCACCTGAAAATAGTGTATTCCTTTTATTCTTTTTGCACGTATTGGTTCTGTTTCTTCCCCTTTTTATATGGGTATGATCAAACTGGAAAAACAAATTTAAATACTACTTTTTTAGCTAGTCATAAGTATTTCTCCATGTTATAAACTATAGAAGTGATCCTGAAAGTACAGTCTTAGTACTTCTCCACGTTATTACAAATTCTTTAAATACTTCATATTTGCTTCAAGACATTCCACTGAGTGAATACTCCAAAGCAATCCCTCACAATGGACATCCAGGGAGTTTCCAATGTGTCACCAATAGAAATAATGCCACCAATAATGTCCTAAACCAGGGGAAGTGAGAACCAGACAGAGGCCTAAGCTTTACCTGCATACAGTCTACATGTGTAGCTAATACTGACTTGTATCCCACATCTCTATAATAAAATAAATAAATAATGCCACAATGTGTAAATGTGTATTTTGCTTGTTTTAGAGACAGGGTTGTGCTCTGTGGCCTAGGCTGGAGTGCAGTGGTGTAATCACAGCTCACTGCAGCCTCCAACTCCTGGGTTCAAATGATTCTCCCACCTCAGCCTCCTGAGTAGCTAGGATCACAGGTGCATGCCACCATGCCTGGCCATAATATGTTTGTTTTTGGAAAAACTTTTCCTGTAGTTTTGATTATTAATTTAGAACATACTTCCAGAAGTGAAATAACCAGATCCAAGCATATGAACAGTTAAGGTTCTTGATACACTGCCAAATGACTTTCCATAGGAGTGCTGGACACGCCCCTCCCAAAGCCATAGCATGTGTCTACTTAGCACATGCTCTCCTGAACTAGGTATTGTCTTTAACTTTGCCAAACTAATACATTAAAAATAACACTGTAGCCGGGCATGGTGGCTCACATCTGTAATCCAGTACTTTGAAAGAAAGAGGTGAGAGCATTGCCTGAGTCCAGGTTTCAAGACCACCTGGGCAACATGGTGAGACCTCGACTCTATACAAAATTTAAAAATTAGCCAGGTGTGGTGGCGCATGCATGTGGTTCCCACTACTTGGAAGGCTGAGGCAGAAGGATCACCTGAGCGCAGCAGGTCGAGGTTGTGGTGGCAGTGAGTATACCACTGCACTCCAGTCTGGACAACAGAGTAAGACTCCAACTCAATCAATCAATCAATCAGTCAAACACAGTAAAACAGTTTTCTATATGTTAAGCTAATTCCATTTCTTCTTACATGAACTGGCTATATACGACTTTTGTTCATTCAACTGGGTATAGTTTTCACATATTAAAATAAATTTGTATAAGTTCTTTATATGCAAAGAAACCAACCCCTACCCCCATGCTGTCTGCCACCTCTATATACTGTCAACATTTAATATTCTCTTGGCTGGGGTCTTTTTAGATTTATACTAATTTAGATATTTTATACAGTCAAATATTGACTTTTTTATGGTTTTGTCTAACACTTTTTTTTATTTTAAAGATGTAGAGTACAATTCAGAGTTAGGTATACAAATGGTCATTATGCAGGTACCCTTGTTGATGAGGTGTGTCCTCCCCCTCCCCCAGCAGATTCCCACTACTGCTAATACCCTCCCCTCCACTACAGTTTCCCACTACTGCCAGTCACACTTTTATTAAGCTTAGAAAGTCTTAACTCTCCATTTGATATTTTAATAAATATTAGCTTATACCTTGCCATAATTTTTTTATATGGGATTCTTTTTTTTTTAAACAACCAGAATTTTAATACCTGTCGCTAATCATGTCAACATATACCATACTAAAATCACTACACAACTTAAGACTTCTAATCCTACCAGATAAAAAACATCTGTTGTTACACTACATTACCCAGGGGAGAGTGCAAACACAGTCCCCCACTACCACAAATTATCAGTCGAGTTTCCCGAATTTGGGGAAATCGCAGGGGTCAGCACACCCGGAGTGCAATGGGTGAGCCTCGCCCTAGGAAAACCACCCTCATGATCATGGTATCTCCCCTGCCAGGTGAGTATATATATGTGATTCTTTTTTTTTGTTTTTTTTTTTGAGTTGGAGTCTTACTCTGTCGCCCAGACTGGAGTGCAGTGGCATGCTCCCAGCCACAGCAGCCTTGACCTGCTGGGCTCCAGTGATCCTTCCGCCTCAGCCTTCCAAGTAGCTGGAACTACAGGAGTGTGCTACCACGCCCTGCTAATTTTTTGATTTATTGTAGAGATGAGGTCTTGCCAAGTTGCCCAGGCGGGTCTCGAACCCACGGGCTCAGGCAATCCACTCACCTCAGCCTCCCAAAGTGCGGGATTACAGGCTGAACCACCGAGCCCGACTGGAAAACTTTTGAGAATTGATCTAAAGTATTCTGAAAGTTTATCTGGAAAAATAAATAGGTAATACTATTTGGGGGAAGAAAAAGTATTGAAAAAGGCTTTTTCAGCCGGGCTCAGTGGCTCAGCCTGTAATCCCATGCTTTTGGGAGGGTGAGGTGAGTGGATTGCCTGAGCCCGTGGGTTCGAGACCCGCCTGGGCAACTTGGTGAGACCTCATCTCTACAATAAATCAAAAATCAGCCAGGTGTAGTAGTGTGCACCTGTAATTCCGGCTACTCGGAAGGCTGAGGCGGAAGGATCACCAGAGCCCAGCAGTCGAGGTTGCGGTGGCCAGGAGCGGCCACTGCACTCCAGTCTGGGTAACAGAGTGAGACTCTAACTCAAAAAAAAGAAAAAAAAAGAAAAAGGCTTTTTCTACTTGATATGAAAGTATGGTAATTAAAATAGTATATAGCATTAGCATAAGAATAATCAGTAGAGCATATTAGATGGTTCAAATACATATATAATTAAAGAGGACTCATGAATCATGGAAAGGAAAATATGTTCAAAAATTATTTTTTAAATATAGTTTATTTAGAAAGTAAATTAGAGTGAGAATTCTGTTAAACATATAAATTAATATAGGAAGAACTAACATCTCATGATAGTCTTTTCATTCTGTCTTAGAACAGTTCATGCTAGAATCTAAAACCCTTTTGGACTTGCATAATGTGGGTACTGGAAGTATCACATCAATTTATTTATTTAGAGTCAAAGTCTCACTCTGTCACCCAGGCTGGAATGCAGTGGCACATTCACTGCCACCCCAGCGTCGACCTGCTGGGCCTCAGGCTATCCTTCCGCTTCAGTCTTTCAAGTAGACAGAACTACAGGTGTGTGCTACCACACCTGGCTAATTTTCTTCTGATATATATTGTAGAAATGAGGTTTCAACAAGCTGCCCAGGCTGGTCTCAAACACCCGGGCTCAGGCAATCCTCTCGCCTCGACCTCCCAAAGTACTGGGATTACATGCTTGAGCCACTGCGCCCAGCTCAATTTATTTATTACTAATGAATTACCAAGCAGTGAACAAGGAGGGGATTCTAGCCCAAGAGGTGCTTCTGGCTAGCTACGTGAATGGGAGCCATTTTTTTTTTTACCATCTCCAGGCTTACCTCTTAATTGAAAGGAATATTATTCAGCTTGTTTAACAAGAACATGGGGGAGAAAAGGCATGAAAACACAATAAGAGGCAGAAAGTGCCGCACAGATGTGAGCATTTTTGCTAATATCGAAGGCAGAGAACATTATCTTTGGTGAGTAGTGGTCCAAACTACTGAGGAGAACACTAATCCAGACATTTCTTACTTGCCTTTTCCCAAGATACAGAACCGCACGGTCATGTTGACAAAGACCCAGGAGAATCCCAAGAACTGCACAAAATTATACATGAACAGGTATCCTTTCTTCAAGCTTGTGAGAGCTGGAAAGCAAAGCAAGGCAGTGAATTGTTAAAGGAGAAGCTGGGGCATATCTGAAAGACTCCCAGCCCTTTTTCCTTCCTGGGTGCCCCCAGCTTCCACACGATATCTGGCCCAAATCATCTCCAGCCTGGGCTCCTATTACCATAGAGAAACATGCAAGGAAAAATCATGAGGACATTGCTCTCCAAGGCATGTTTTTGGTAGTCTTTCCTTTCACAACCCTGAGGGATGAGTATACAGATATAACAAACCCAGAAAAAATGTGACCTATGCTGTCATATTAGGATGGTTATAGTGGCTTTCATCCACTGGCTTCTGATTCCCACTAACCTTGTTCAGTGTTTTACCATAATGCTGGGTCACTTTGGGCCTTTGAAAACAGACTCTTTCTCACTCTGACCTTCCCCTGCCCTCCTTTCACCTGTCCAAAGCAGGACTATAACCTAATTGTGGGTCATAAGACCCTCATTCCAGAGAGGTCCTGCAGGAAAGAAGGCTACACAGAGAGGCCAGAAGAATCTGAGCAAACAGGCCTTGCTGGGTTTAGCTCATACCCTTTTTGTTCAATCACATGTTAGCACTGCTGGCAACTCTTCAACCATGCCTATGCAATGAAGGCCATAAAAGGCCCAAGAGAACAGGGCCTAAGAAGCTTCAGATAGCACCCAGAAGTTCCTGAAGGGTGGTGTGTCCAGGGAGGGATGAAAGCTCCACACCACTTCCTCCCTACCTTACCTTACACATGTCTTGATCAGCATCCTTTGCAATATCCTTTACAATAAATCAGTAAATGTGAGTAAGCATTTCCCTGAGTTGTGCGAGCTGCTCTAGCAAATTAATCAAATTTTTTTTACTTTAAAAGTGTTTTCTATTTTTAATTTTTATTTTTGTTGGAATCTCACTCTGTCACCCAGGTTGGAGTGCAGTGGCACACTCATGGCCACCATAGCCTAGACCTGCTGGGTTCAGGGAATCTCCACCTCAGTCTTCCAAGTAGCTGGAACCACATGCACGCACCACCATGCCTGGCTAATTTTTTTATTTTACTGTAGAGAAAAGCTCTGGCCAAGTTGCCCAGGCTGGTCTCAAACCTCTAGGCTCAGGCAATCCTCTCTCCTCTGCCTCCCCAAGTGCTATGATGACAGGCATAGCCACCGCGGGAATCTCAATTTATGACCAGTCAGTCAGAAGTTCTAGAAGCCCAGATGCAACTATTGTCTGAAGTTGGAGAGATGGGGGAAACTGAGTCCTCAGACTGTGGGATCTGACGCTATCTCCAGGTAGAAATGAATTAGAGGGCACCTGACTCTTGCTATTGACTGTATCTAAGCTCCTACTTAAGCATGAAAGCACAATAAGAGGCTGGAGATGACCATAGAACAGGCTTAGAACTGACTGCTTGCTTGTTGGTGGGGAAAGACTCCTACACATTTGATCACAGAAGTCTCTGTGTTGACAATTATAGAGTGAGAAAACAGGAAAAGGCATGTCAAGTGCTGTGCTTTTTTCTTAATACCTTGCAAAGAATGAGTGACCCTCTTACAAGGCATCACAGAAGGGAAATAAAGCTCTCCTCAGTGCCTGCTCGAGTCATCTTAATATGATCCAAGGTTACTTCTTTTCTGGAATTTCTTTATGGTCACTGAGGTCAAACTAGCTCAAAGAGATTAAAGTGATATTTGGTCATCTATTCATTCAACCAAGAATTAAGGGAACACCTACAGTGTGCAGGGCACTGTGAAGAGCACCACTAGGAGACAAACTGAAAATATGATGCCACCCTCAGAGCTTACAGTCCAAAAACCACAGTACCAGATGGAGAGTGACAAGTAATGTTTTATGAAAATTTCAAGGTTAAAAAAGTGACACAAAACTTGGAAAGTGGGCACCAAGCTAGTATACATAGAAAAGCTGCCATCTGATCTGGGTTTTGGAAGATGGGCAGAGTGAGGACACAACCGAGGGAAGACAATTTCAAACCAAGAGGCAGAAAAGAAGAGACATACATATTGCTTGCAGCATGAGGTTCATGAAGAAGCAGCCAATTCAAAAGTTAAAGAAGGAGTTTAGATAGAGTTGTGGTTGAATCAAAGTAGTCATGTAAAGAAAAGAACCGTTCTCAAAAAATAACTATGGTGCTCAGATTTTGCAGCTATGTATTTAATCCTAGCCTACAGATATTCTGCAGACACTTCGTTTAGGCTCAAATAATCACATTTAGTAGTGCGATCAATCAAAACCAGCCTAAACCAGGTGCAGTAGCTCACACCTGTAATCTCAGCTACTTGGGAGGCTGAAGCAGGAGGATCACTTGAACCCAGAAGTTCAAGACCAGCCTGAGCAACATAGCGAGACTCCATCCACCCCCCCAAAAAAGGGGGGGGCAGCATCCTTATTTTAAGGGTCCAAAACATGTCAGACTTCTAGCAACATTTAACTAAAACTTTTTTCTGGCTAGGCATGGTGGCTCATGTCTATAATTCTAGCACTTTGGGAGGCCCAGGCTGGAGGATCACTTAAGCCCAGGAGGTTAAAGCTGTAATGAGCCATGATTGTGCCAACTTCAGTCTGGGCAACAGAGTAAGACCCTGACTCAAAAAATTAAAAAAAAAAAAACTTTTATAATCAAAAACCACAAAAGTAGTGGGCCTTGAACATTTGTCACAGAGGGATCGGCAGTCACTGGGCACTGCTAGGGGAGGGAGGGAGAAAGGAGGGTGGGGCCACGTGACAACACAAAGGAGAGTGAGGGCCAGTTAGAAGCCCAAACTTCACCTACATGCAGCCTACTTTATGTAGTTAATCCTCACTTGTACCCCACACTTCTATTATAAAATAAATTTTTTAAAAAAATCATAGAACTGTACCCTTTTAAAAAGGTCAGTTTTAGTCAGGAGCAATGGCTCACACCTATAATCCCAGCACTGTGGGAAGCGGAGGCAAGAGGTAAATTTTGCTGTGTCATAATTTTAAAAAAGAATTTAAAAATAGAAAAATCTACCAAAGTTGATTACACTTCCCTACCATAAAGAACTTCCGTCATCAGAACACTGTGTGAATTTAGATAAAAATTAAAGCTTTACCTAATATCCTAAAAATCCATGTATAAGAATTTGTACCTATTTCTGAAGTTTGTCCCTTTAAAATATCAAAAAATTAATTTAAATCTCAAGGTACTTTTTAATGTTGTTATTCTTTGCTTCCACTAATCCTCTCCCTTCCTCAGCTATGCTAAAATAACATTCCTCTAAAATTCAAGTTTATTCAAGTCTTTTTTTAAATCTTTTTTTTTTTTTTTTTTTGAGTAGGAGTCTCCCTCTATTGCCCAGGCTAGAATGCAGTGGCACATTCAGGGTCACCGCACCCTCGACCTGCTGGGCTCAGGTGAAACTTCCACTTCAGCCTTCTAAGTAGCTGGAACTACAGGCATGCACCACAACGCCTGGCTAATTTTTAAATTTATTGTAGAGATGAGGTCTCGCCAAGTTGCCCAGGTTGGTCTTGAATCCCTGGGCTCAGTCAATCCTCTTACCTCAGCCTCCCAAAGTGCTGGGATGACAGGCTTAAGCCACTGCACCTGGCCTAAACCCCTTTTCAAGAGAACCCTTATTCAGAACCCCAACACATAAAACACAAAAGAGAGCGGTTCTGACTGATATAGATCTGCTTGCTTGACCCACTCCTCCAAGCATCTCTGCAAACCCCTGGGGTAACATGGAACACAGTTAGAAAACGATTGCTCTAAAAATGTCTCTTTCCTTATTTATGGCATGCCAAATAAGTACCAATAAAACTTGACAAAGTTCAATTCAGGACACATAAGGAGCCTGCATTTCATTCTGCTTTTCAGAGACAGTTTTACATAGACTTGCATGTCCCCCCAATAGAACATAAGCACTCTCGAGTTCATGTGCCATAATGGATTCATGTGGCTCCACGTCAAGGGCCAAGAACAACACTCTCCATATGGCATGAACTTAATAGGCAGCTGCTGATTTTAGTCCAACTATGTTACCCAGAAGATAATACACTTACAGAGCTACTTATTTAAAAGTGGTTAAACATGGCCAGGCATAGTGATGCAAGCCTATAATTCCAGCACTTTGGGAGGCCGAGGCAAGAGGACTGCCTGAGTCTAGGGGTTCGAGACCAGCCTGGGCAACTTGGTGAGACTTTGTATCTACAATAAATAAAAAAATCAGCCAGGTGTGGTGGCGCACATCTGTAGTTCCAGCTACTTGGAAAGCTGAGGCGGAAGGATCACCTGAACAGCAGGTAGAGGCTGCAGTGGTCGTGAGCATGCTACTGCCCTCCAGCCTAGGCAACAGAGTGAGACTCCAACTAAATAAATAAATAAATAAAAGTGGTTAAACAGATAGAAATTGATTTTTTTTTCTTTGAGTCAGAGTCTCACTGCTTTCGCCCAGGCTGGAGTGCAGTGGCATGCTCACAGCCACCACAGCCTTGACCTGCTGGGCTCAGGTGATCCTTCCACCTCAGCCTTCCAAGTAGCTGGAACTACAGGCGCACACTACCATACCTGGCTAATTTTTTTATTAATTATAGAGATGAGGTCTCACCAAGTTGCCCAGGCTGGTCTCAAACCCTTGGGCTCTGGCAATCCTCTCAACTCCACCTCTCAAAGTGCTGGGATTATAGGCATGAGCCACCACATCCAGTTCAGAAACGAATTTTTAAAAGGTTAATGAGTAGCGGGACTATACAGAAAATGCTCCATGTATAATGTTAACAACCACATTTGTCCACAGTACAGCCCTTGAGATCTCAGTTGGGAGAAAAAAACACCAGGCTGGAGGAGGGTAGCCTTGGACCCATGCAGTAATTTCCACAGGTCTGTGCAGCATTTGGCTACCTTCTGCCACTAGGCTCACATAGGAGACTAAAGTTCTTCCTTCTGCCACTCCAGCCTCAGTGTGCTCAGATGATATGATGCCCAAGACAGAAAGAAACATTAAAGGTAAGGCTTTCAATACGGTGTATGCAGCTCAAGCCTTGGCCTCTAAGACTTCACATCCGCTCACCCACACAGCTCACTAGAGTGGAGTCAGCGCTCCTGCCACAAATTTATCCATCTCCCACCACTAACACGCGTTCACTGCTGACTGCCACTGCTGTAGCAGCAACTTACTTTCAGGGGATCCTTGGCTTTCCAGTCTGAGTTTGTTTAGGCGTTCTTCTTCCTAGAATTGAGACAGAAGTTTTCCAAGAAGACAAGTCAGAATTTCCAAACGCTTGTAAAAGTCCATATGCTAGATGAGTAATCTGACTCCCTCAAAGCCACCTCCTCAAAGTGTGTTCAGTGCACCTTTAGGGAGAATGCCCTAGTTCATGGTGCCAAACGCCTACCTCACTAGATAGCAGTAACATCACAGGATGCCCATCACTGTTCCCAGAGTCAGCCTAATCAGCTGGCTTTCAAACTGCCAAGTGGGCAATCTTGAAATCTTAGCACTAAAAAGGGCATCTAGAAGATTTGTTAGTCAGAGAAGCAAAACATAAGTTTAAGGCAGAATGTAGATTCCTATTTTATCCTTCAAGATTTCTAGGTTTTTTGGTATATTTTTTCCAGAAACTAAGATCATGTCTCCAATATCAGTATGAACTCATTCAGTTTAATATAGATACAAATGAATACATATAGAAATACTGTACATGTATAAGCAAGGGTTGGTATGCATACATATGCGTCCTTACTCTGTCAGTTGAGAGGACCTAAAAGCAATGACACCCCCATGGCAATGCGCATACCTGATGCCTAGATATTGGTTTCCAGTACCATTCAGCAATCAAAAGAACATAACTCCTTGGAGAAATGGCTGGCTATTCTAGGACTGGAGGAGGGAATAAAAATATAAGCCTGGAAAAACTTATAATGCCAGAAAGTAAGAAAGTGCTTTAAAAGCAGTTCCACAATGATGGATCTTTCTCAAAAAGACACAGGAGTCAATGAGAGAGCTTCCAGTGGCTAGAAGTGGAACTGGAGCAAGAAAATATATAACATAGTATTAGATTATAACCCAAAGTATAAAATATCCGTAAGTCCACATTGATATAAAAATAATGAATAAATAAATAACTGGGAGAGAATAGACAAAACCTTCACACAGAAGAATTCCAAATAATTATGCAGCTCTTCCATCCAAAGGATAAGAAGTTTAACTCCCCACTCTGTGAGTGCAGGCACACACAGACTTCCCTCCAGTCTGGTAAGGAGAGGGAGGGGCACAGGGAGAACGACTTCACAGTTCTTCAGGTGAGCACTGCCTCATGCCAGCTGAGCCAGGCTGACATCAATAGTGCCACACCATTTGGCAGAGTGCAGTCTTTTTTATTTTTTATTTTTTGAGTCAGAGTCTCACTCCGTTACCCAGGCTGGAGGGCAGTGGCATGCTCATGGCCACTGCAGCCTCGACCTGCTGGGCTCAGGCGATCCTTCTGCCTTAGTCTTCCAAGTAGCTGGAACTACAGGCATGCGCCATCACACCCGGCTAATTTTTCTTGATTTATTGTAGAGATGAGGTCTTGCCTAGTTGCCCAGTGTGGTCTCGAACCCATAGGCTCGAGCAGTCCTCTCACTTCAGCCTCCCAAAGTGCTGGGATTACAGGCTTGAGCCATTGCACCCAGTCACAGAGTGCACTCTTGATAGGATGTGGCAAGAGGACACTTCACCCTGTAGTTCTCCTCCAGAACCCATCACCTTAGTCTAGTTGTAAGAAAAACATCAGATAAATCTAATCAAGGAACAAAACACATGACCAACTCATCTCTAAAGTCATGTCACCAGTTCTTTAAATATATTTGTAACTTTGTCCCGACTCTGTCAGACCCGGAGAGGTATCTGAAGTGGCCCAAAAACTTGGATTCTTTATGATTTCTGTCTTCAGCGGCTAGACCCTAGGATCCTTACTAACCTTGGCTCTGAGCTCCATTTCTGCATCAGATTCATCCAGCCAACGATCAAAGTCAGGGGCCAAAAACAGAGGTCGCTTTTCCTGCTTGGTGAGTCTCTCCCACCACTGACTCACTTTCTTCTGTACTGTAATATTTACTTGTCTCTGCGTCAGTTTGTAAACCGGCTAGGAGAGAAAGCAAGAATGTGAGAATGCCCTTGTATTCCTGGAACTGACCACGCCAGTGCCCCTCTACAGAAGCTGCACATGTGCTTATCCCCTTCCTTCCTGGCCCTGCAAGTCCTGACGCAAAGGAATATCTGGACCAAGGGCTGCACAGAGAAGAACTGGTAAGAACAGCAGCATCCTTCTCTGATTCCCCAACAAGCAACAAAGGAGGATACCAGCAGAAGAAAGGCAGACAAGTCCTGGTTGGCCCAAAGGGAACTGGCATGAACTCCTGCTAGAGCCACAGCACACAAGGTTCTATGTCCAATCACCCTCTCAAAGGCACCCTTACAAGTTTTCCTCCCACCCTTACAAGTTTTCCTCCCATGAAAATGATTGTCCCTGGCTCGGTAAACCTTTGTTTCAGAAAGGCCTGCATCAAGGCCAGAACTGGAAGGGAGCAGTTACAGCTTTTCCACAGGGGTCAACCTAAAGAGTCTTTCCAACTTAACTCCATTTTATTTTTTTTTTTTAGACAGGGTCTCACCCCATCACCAAGCCTGGAGTGCAGTGGCACAATCATAGCTCACTGCAGCCTCGACCTCCCAATCTCAAGTAATCCTGCCACCTCAGCCTCCTGAGTAGCTGGGACCACGGGTGCACACCACCACGCCTGACTAATTTTTCTTTTTTTTTTAAGAGATGAAGTTCACTATGTCACCCAGGCTGGTCCTGAACTCCTAGACTCAAAGGATCCTCCTGTCTCAGCCTCCTGAGTGGTTGGGATTCCAGGCACATGCCACCACACCCAGCTAATTTTAAAATTATTTTTGTAAAGACGGAGTCTCACGATTTTGCTCAAGTTGGAAAACTCAAACTCTTAGAGACTGCTCCAGCTCACTATTTGTCTACATGGCCTCGCTCTTTGTCTCCAAAGCAAGCCTGTGACAGGTTTTCTACCCCTTATACCAATGCTTACTACTGATGCTTTTTCAAACAACTGAGCGCCTACACAGAGATCAATGAGCTCAGTGTAATTCCAGAAATGAAACATGTCATCTGGTAGATTATCTCCCTTCTTGTTAGAGAAGTTTCTCCAGGCTCTGAGGGAAGGGAAACTTCAATTCTACTTCAGCATTCCTTCCCAAGACCAGGTGCCTTAGCCTTTTCTGATTTCTACTTTTCTTGATGTCCCTGAAGCAAAGTTCCATGAAAGTGACCTTCTGTGGGGACTTCGACCACTCGGGGTAGCTCTGGTCACAACAGGTGCCATACTCCTCTGTCATCACTAAAATAGAGAACCAGCAGGGCTGGAAGAAACCTGAGAGATCACTTAGTACAGTCTTCCATTTAACACACGAGAAAACTGGAGCTCAAAAAAGTGAAGAGACTTGTTCAAGAACACAATACTAATAAATTGCAAAGCCCAGGTTCAACTCAAGTTCTCTGACTCCCCATTCTTCAGCAGTTCTGTTCCAAATGAGAGAACTATAAAGAGGGACCCAAAAAACCCAGAATTTATTTATTAAAAATTGTGTGTATATTCTTACATGTTTAAAATTCAGTCACCTTCAAAGTATTTTCTGTTTGATGCAATACACCCATCAGAAGGCTTTTTCCACTACTCAAAACAGTTTTTTATCTCATCCATTTCTTCTGCTGTTTTTTGTTTCAACTCTTCCATATCAGCAAAACATTTCCCTTTTTTTCATCCAGGAAAACATAAAAATGTCACTCGGGACAAGATTAGGTGAATAGGGAGGGTAGGGCACAGGGTCATGCTATTTTTGGTCAAACAAAAAAATAAAAAAACAACTGCTGAGCACTCAGCACAGTGTGGGCAGGTGCACTTGTAAATCACCCATCATGAAATGGGCAAATGTGTTGACAGAATCTCCCCCCCAGAAAAAAAATTTCACCAAAGCTGAACATAGCCTCTCACAACAACACTAGCTGGTACACTGATGCCAGTGGGTTCCTGGAATACTTACCTAATGGGGGAAGTTTGTACTACAAGGGGCCTGCCCTCCAAAAAATAATCCTGGTTTTTCTCCTTTCACATATTATTCCCCTTTGGCTTTAATCTTCTCTCTCACAAACCCTGCTCCCATTTCACTAAACTACTAGTATTCATTTCCTAAAATAGGAAGAGAAATGAGAAAGAAAAGAACATACCTCTGACTTCACAAGGTCTAAGAACTCCAGGTGAAATTCATAGACATTGTCTCCTTTGGCACCATGTCCCTGAGCTATAAGGAAAGAAATGTGGGTCACTGTGAACTTGAGCAGAGCAAGGCCATCCAATAGTTTGGTGCAGTTCTTTCATAAGTATGCAAATATTTCACTGGATCTTAGCCAAAAGACCCAGAAGGCATGTAGTATGCAAATATAGTGGGTCCAGTTGACATCCCTGGGGCTTGTGAGCAGAGCTACTCAACAACTAGATAAGCCATACCCTAGACAAAAGTTTATCTCCGTGTGTCCTCTAATGATCTTCCAAGATGGCCTTGATGACAGCCAGTACAAATAACAGCAGGAAAAAAGATAAAAAGCAAACCCAAAAGGGACACACAGATATACATTTAACTTAGATATTTACTTTTGCTCTAAATCTAGAGCAGAGAAAAACGAGAGGGTGCATTGATTTGACTGGTTAATGAAGGTTGCAGGTACATGGAAATTCTGGAGTGTCTCAATGACAGCTCTGAACCTAGAACCTCCCAACCAGAGACAGAGGAGGAAGGGAGAAGGTGACTCCTCTAGCACATCCCAAATGGAGTAAGGGAAAAGAAATAACATCTCTTGTAGCTTATGAGAGGTGGAGCTGTGAAGAAGTCCCTGGGTTGGCCAACGCCCACCCCTGTGCTATGACATGGTTCCTTTCCTCAGATCACACAGGTGCCCTGCCTAGGTACCAGAGATTGCTGGACCCAGCAGTTGCTGCTGGATATCCCTTCCCCTCTACTCCTGATTCACTTGTCATTTGGTTCCATCCTGGGATTCTCTTCCCTCACCTGGCCACATGTAATCTAACCTGCCTCATGCTTGCTACAGGTGGCTATCATTTCCCAAGACCAGAAGTTCCTTAAGACAGGGCAGTCTATGCACTCTAAGTGGCAAGATACACTTTGATCACTTTAACTTCCTTTTAAATGTATATAACTCCCCAAAACTCTGAGCTGCTACCACCACTACTCTAATCTTGAAAAGCCAGGCTGTACTTTCATGTAAGTATAGAGTAGACAGAAATTCACGTAAAAAAGAAACTCTTCAAGCTCCAGTAACTGCAGGAACTGGAACAGAGAGAAAGCAGGGAGAATTCCACACCACTGGGTGACAGTGAACACAGACCTACCTTCTCAGGCAGAGCAGTGAACCTGCTGATAAACAGGGAGAAAGGCCATGGAGACAGATTCACAGAGTCAGACTGTCAGGGTCAGAAAGGCCCTAGACACCGTCTAGCATACAGTGTTTCTCAGACTGGTCTGCAAATGTAATATCAGGAGCCACAAAGTCTCATCAAGAAAAACTCTACTTTTTGTTCTCATTATAATCCGTTTTTTAAAAGCAACATACTCTGGATCATCTAGATGGCTACTCTATAATCAAGTATCACCACACAAGTTCAGTGGCTACATTTGTGTATGTGTCTATAGCTGTAATGTAGTCAAATTATCGCTTAAAGTGAGCATATTTAATTCTTCACATGTTTCTCAACCTGGGTTCCACGAGCCCTTGAGGATCCTGTGGACACATTCTCAAGTGTCCACAGGTCCTCCAGTTTGAGAAACACAATGATAACCCAACATCTTCATTGTATAGGTCCAGAGAAGTCACTAACTTGTCCAAGGTAGCAGCAGAATTAGGGCTAGAAGACAGATCTCCTAAGTTCTAGTCTGGGATTTTTTTTTTCCCCATTGTATCTACTGCTTTTCCATGGGGGAAAGCAGGGTTTTAAACAAATTATTTGACTTTTCTAATTATATACAAGGGGAGAACCACCCCCAATCTGAGATTTATAAAAAAATTGTGTATTCACTCTGACATGTTTAAACTCCAGTCACCTTCAAAGCACTTTCCGTGTGATGCAGTACACCTATCAAGATGTTTTCCCATTGTTCAAAACAGTTTTTGAACTTGTCAATTTTGATGCCTTTTAGTGCCTCTACCTTTCATTTCACCTCTTCCACATCAACAAAATATTTCCCTTTGAGAACTTTTTTCGTGGGGAAACAAAAAAAAAAGTCACTCCAGGCAAGGTCAGGTGAATAGGGAGGGTGGAGCACAGAGGTCATGCCGTTTTTGGTCAAAAACTGCTAAAGACTCAGTGCAATGTGGGCAGGTGTGCTTGTAAATCACCCATCATGAAATGGGCAAACATGCTGAAAGACTCGCCAAAAAAAAAATTTAGTGAAGCCAAAAGCAGCCTCTCACAACAACAGCTAACTGGTACACTGATACCAATGAGTTCCCAAAACACCTACCTAATGGGGGAGACCTGTATGACAAGGGGCCCTCCCTCCAAAAGATAATTCCTAAAATTTTGGAATCCCTCCTTGCATTTCAAAACAATCTAATTTACCCCAACAGTATCAGATGAGAGAACATTAATTTTAAGATGAATAAAACAAACAGATAAAAATAAAGGGAAACTACTCCCATGCTTTCTTAACCATGTATAGAGCTGGGAGCACTGTGGCATACTGACCTTTGAAATGTAGCACATTCTCTGTGATGCTGATGGCAGGATTCTGTGAAGAGACCAAGGACGCAAGAAGGCGATTTAATGAAGAGAAAAATAAAATTAAACCAGGGGCCTCCTCCCTTCATCCTTCCCCCCTGGGGACTCAATCTCCTACTCTGCCTCCCCCAGAAAGTATATTTAGTCATTTATTCATATCTCTGTGTAGGGCTTCTCTATGTCTGTCCTATCCTAAACTGCTCTAATTGTGCAGAAGAATCAGGAATTGAATTAGTCCATCACAAGGAACTATGTGAGGCCTGATGGGAGTATACAGATCTCTGAGACTAAGTCCTTGAGCTGCAGAACAGAACCCAGTGGGACAGAGGAGTCACTTCCTGTGAGATGATAGATTTCACATAGTTATCAAGATCTAAAGGATAATAAGAAGACAGCAAGTATTAAAGCAGTTACGAAAGAGAGCACTATGGGAACAGAATGGCTGGGAAAAGCTTCACCAAAAGTGAGACATGTCCTGCAACCTGGGCGGTAAGTTAATTTCAGCAGGCAGAGGGAAGGGCAGAGATTCAGATGTGGCAGAATGAAAAAGAACATGTTGGTTGGGCGCGGTGGCTCAAGCCTGTAATCCCAGCACTTTGGAAGGCCGAAGTGAGAGGACTGCCTGAGTTCAGGGGTTCAAGACCAACCTGGAGCCAGGCTTGGTGGGTCAGCCTGTAATCCCACGCTTTGGGAGGCTGAGGTGAGTGGACTGCCTGAGCCCACGGGTTCGAGATTCGCCTGGGCAACTTGGTGAGACCTCATCTCTGCAATAAATCAAAAAATCAGCTGGGCGTGGTAGCGCATGCCTGTAATTCCGGCTACTCGGAAGGCTGAGGCGGAAGGATCGCTGGATCCCAGCAGGTCGAGGCTG